GCACCTCATCAGTGCCACAACCTGATGACCCTGAATGTTTGCTTAGGGAATTAAGGTTTTCAGGCAAGTCCCCCTTCTCTCCCTCTTATTACTCTTTATTCCATAGGTCATCGTGGTTGTATGGCAGCGAAGTATCAGTTCAAACGGCTGATGTTATGCTGCGGTTGTTGTTGTTGTTATGCGGAATACCGAGATGCGAACCATCAGATGTTACGACCGATCAGCCCACCTCATCAGTGCCACAACCTGGTTGTTCCTCGCCGAATGCCCCCCCCCCTCGGATGTCGCCTGGTTCGACTTCGTAAAAAAAGTTAACCGGATGGTTACTGATGCTTCAGAGACAAAAGTTTGCAAACAATCTGAAAGAGTTGCTCAGGTAAGGAGCAGAATTCGAAAATTGAAGGCAGTACGCAACGCGGCGTGGTGAGAGTCTAGACTACCCCCAAGACAATACAGCTGGGATAACTACGTAGCCCGACGAAACCACTGCACCCAACTGCTCAGATAGGACAAAGTTGCACATCAAAAACGTTCAGCGCCAATTACAAACTACTGTACAAGCACGTCAATGGTCTACGGAAGGTGAGACAAGGAGTTCCGCCACTCACGACGGCTGATGATCCAACACGAACGGCTATGTAAGCAGCAGACGCGCTGCGGATGCAATATGCTCTCACCTTCCAGAGTACCATCGGGAGATCCTCCGGCTTTAATCACCTCGCCGCCGAGACTCACTCGCATATCCTTTTCCACGGAAGCTGACCACTCTACGCAAGCACAAATTCTCGGGTGTCGATAATATTCGCCCTGAGGCATTGGAAGCAGCAGCAAGTAAACTGGCAGAGCCACTGGTTTAGTTCTTACAGCGCTGCTTAGAACAGAAGCAAGTCCCTGCCATGGGGAAGCGCAAGGTTCAGGGGAGTACTGACTAGTAACTGCTTCAGAGTGATCTGGACACGGTACATCAGTGGTCCATTTAAAATTCATTGCAAGTCAATGTGAGTAAATGAAGGGTGCTCCCCATACGACACCAGAGCAGCCACTGCTACAAGCTCGGAACGCATTTGCTGCAGCGAGCTGCCCCCGAACGTGATTTGGGCGTACGGGTTCAGGGTGATCAGAGTTGTTCCAGGCAATCCATGAAAGCCTCCAAAACTGGTAACCAACATATGGGCCTGTTACGACGGGCATTCGGACAAATAGATCGCTCTATTTTCCGGCAGATGCTTAGTACGGATGTTCGTCCTCACGTTGAATATGCAGTGCAAGCATGACACCCATGGCTAAAACACGACCTTAGTGCATTGGAACAATCACAACAATGAGCATCAAATTACGCTATTGGAATGCACCATCGTCCATACGAAGAGAGGCTGGAACGACTGGGGGTATTCAGCGGACGTCACCACCGCTTACTAGGTGACTTGATAATGGTGTACTTTATTCCGCACGATTCACATCATGAGTGCCGCTCTTTACTGCAACTCAGCGGTAATACCAAGTTGAGAGGCCACACACTAAAACTGGCAGAACAGTAGAGCCGCCTGGATTGCCGCAGGAATTTCTTCTCCGTCCGCGTGTACCACCCGTAGAACGCTCTTTCAGAATCGGTCATTTCTGCACCATCACTTTCCATACTTAAAAGACGCTTGGATGACGCACTTACAATTTGTCACCTAGTACTACATATTTAACCCACTCCTGAAATATATTTTGGATTTAGTTGCTGTTAAATGTCTGTGTTGTGAAACTACACGGATCGCAGGACTATAGAGAAAAAAAAACGATAAGTCCCTCTTTTAAACGCAAATAACCCACTGCTTTTAGTTTTTCGATAACCATGCAAAACCACCAAACAGAAGATGTAAAGCATTGTTTCTTAACCCGTATAAATTCCTTGTCCATTGTAAGTTTGGTTGTCCGAGTAAGTTGAATTGAATGTCTGCACAGTGGTATGCGCACGAAGGTACAGCTGAGTGGACAGACCTCAGATGACTTTGCAGTTACCTCTGGTGTGAAGCAAGGTAGTGCCTTAGTTCCAACTCCGTTTAATAGTTAGTTTCATGTCATGATGTCACGTGCGTTTGATGTGGCTTGTGCTTACTGTGTTTGTGGGGAGCACCGTATTGATGGTGGGTTCCGGAACATCTGTCGTTTCGATGCGAGAACCCTAGTCTGTGAGACAACTATCCGTATGTTGCTGACGACTGTGCGTTGTTTACACACGACGCGGATGAGTTGCAGCTATGGCTTCGACATCGGCCAAATTCGGGCTCATCAACAACATGAGCGAAAATGTCTGTCTTTTTCAGCCTTCACAGGAGGTACAATCAGCAGTGGTACCGCAAATCAGCAATGGAAACCACCTCCCGCTTCTTTCGCCTTGAAGTGTGGTTTCGACTGATCAGCAACTATACAGTGAGCTGCGTATCCGAGTAACGAAAGCAGCGGCGGCATTCGGGAAGCTTATCGAATGTGGAGGAAGCACCAGCTTACCGTTGGCACGAAGCTGATAGTGTACAAATCCATGGTGCTGTCCGCTTCTTTATACGGCAATGAAAGGTGGACTATGTACTGGAGGGATGTGAGATATCTCGAGCGGTTTCATCAACAATGTCTGCGAGGGATTCTGCGCAATGGTTGGTGCGAGAGTTGCAGACACGGTATTGCGCCGAAGTGAAATATGTGCGGTAGACTACAAACTTTTCCTGAGACCCGTGAGGTGGCTCCGTCATGTGTGCCGCACGGATTAGACGAGGATAACGAAGCAGTTGTTATATGGTCGGCTGAGTGTTGGGAAATGGCATATAGTGAAACCGAAGCTTCGTTACCAGGACATGATCAAGGTGAGCCTATCACTTTAATGTTGATTTCAGGAATTGGGCATAGAAGGCGGTTAATCGGCGTGCATGGACCGCTCTGATCACGAAGGCAGTTGCAGGAGAAAGCCCTCGTGTATGCACCGATGGAGAGAACTCCATCGACGTCGAGCGCATGGTGCTGTAGCACATGCGGTCAAGAGTGCCTGAGTCAGGCAGGTCAAATGAGCCACGAGTGAGGACAACGGGTGCTGCTTATAATACAAGCAGAACCGGCGCAGTGTTAATAGCTACGCTGCATGCGCTTCCAACAGATTTGCTAACCGCGCGCTTACGTGCTGAGACTGTTTATTTCAGTTGGTTGGTTTGCTATCATGTTTTAATGCTTTTACGTAGTTCTAATGTCCAAGTGAATAATCTATTAAATTGCACATGTCGCTTAAGCCAGTAGTTCTTAATTTCGTTAACCTTTTCGCATTTGTGGCATTTTCTTAAAATATATTTTCCGACGTCTTGAACCTACTGCGGACTTGTTGGCAACCAATTTCTTTCATATGCTCATTTATTGAAGAGTTATGTCGACATATCCGTGTGCTTTATACGATATATTTTATTTGATAGTTATTTCAAGTGATTTGCTGTCGCTCGACATCCCCGGTGGGGTTGCGCTTGCCAAGGTATCTACCTGTCTATTACGCACTACCTCGTCCATAATGGCTCCAGGAGACAGTTGGTTGTTGCTGCAGGTGACGGGGTGCACGGTCTTTGTGGCCGTGCTAGGCTCAAAGAGTGGTTCCATACACTCAGTGCGCAGCGGACTAGGGTCCAGCCACCGCCTTGTGGGCGACTGATTCCCAAATACAGCATGCTTGTGTTTGCCTGTGAAGGAGTGTGGGCCGGCTCCGTTGATGAAAAGTGGCTCCCATCTACATGCCTCCCGGTCTTATTCCTTCTCGTTTATACGGGATATGGGGTGTGTGGTTGGAGCTGTGGGTGGTGCAGCGTAAGCCACCCGTTGTCTCTTTGTAGACGCACACGTCCTGTGGCTGTCCTTGTGGAGGCCACAGTGACAGGCAAAGCCGGAAGCAGATGCCGCCAACCATGTCGCCTTGTCTACATACTCGGTATCGCGTTTCACAATCCTGGTGTTAGTTCCGCACGCGTAGACTTTTATCGTTTGTTAGGATCAGAACAAAGCAATTATAGAACGCAGGGGGTTTCAGGGCTCTTGTTGAGCAGGTTGTCAGAACAAGCCTCGGTCAAATAGTCACCAAGTGTTCGAAAATGCGCTGGACATCCGCTTGATCCTATTGATACCTGTTAACAGTCTACACCGCCCTCGAATTACTTAGGACGTGAAGCAATGACCGTTCCTCTACGAGTCGGCGACAAACGCCACTGGGCAATGAGAGACAGCAGTGGATAGCAATGACTGATTACCAGCTGCGAAATGGTGCGGCCCATCCCCCAACGCTACGAGTATTATTACGACCAACGTGAAAGCCGAAGCCGCCCCGCTACTCTTCAACAAGCAGTGTTGGCCCAAGTTGGTTTATAACGACATAAGTGAACTGCAGAATTAGCGAAGAAAGTAGTAACTCTGAGGGTCAACCCTGTTATCTGGAGGCTCATGGCATGCAAAACGGTGGAGGATGAACCATGTTATGTTGTACCCAGTCGTTAGTTATGGCAGTACGCTTCTGTCGCCAATAGCTAAGTGGCTGGCTCATAAGAGTAAAACATGTTCAGGTCCATTAGGATACGCGCTACTGAGGAGTCCCAATAGGACAAAACGGCAATCCAGCACTTTTCCAGATGGGTGGTAACTGGTTTTGACAAACTTCTTATAATGCTCTGTGATGTGCGGGATACAACTGCTATTGCAGTTGGAGTACACCTGAGTTGCTGAAAGCGTGGCGCACTCGCTCTCGATGCGAATTCTGGCACAATGCCCACTCGCCATATGTTACCATCACACACATTAAAGAGCCTAGGAGTTTACTAACTGTTACCCGTGGAGATGGAATAATAACTGTGTGGCATCCCAAGCCCAGAGCGTTTCCATTTTAGAACAAGCTACAAACTAGCTGCCACGCTGTGTATGCCTGCTTCAAGTCTCACTAAGCGGTAACTGCTAAGTACTAGTCTAACAAGAGATGAGTGCCAATGAAAAAGTGAGTGTAACCACGTGGTTTACATAACTAGACGTTATGAAGCTGAGGACCTTTGGGTCGATACACCAAGTAATCAGTTAATGGAGGACAATCATATCGAGAAAGTGTCAGCCAACCGTTAATCAAGGACCACTTCTATCCGTGTGGCTCTCGTCCTGAATCCATCGAGTTGGCATTGAATGTGTAGATGGAACTGCGTGCAGTGCAGTGCAAGCCACCCATGATCTATCTGCAGACACGGCACCCAAGTGAAGATTAAAAAGTGAAACAACTAACGAATCCGGAAACGGACGCTTCAAAGTTCAGTGAACAAAAGACGCTGATGAAAAATGATTAAAACAGATTAGTGTTCATATTAACCGGAGAAGAAGGAACAAAGATGAAGAGGTTTTTGGTTCAAATTAGAAGTTGAATCTGATCAGCACGACGCAAACACGATAAATCTCGCGGTAAAAGAGTAATTGAATGTGAAATCCTCTGGTGTAATTCGTGGATGACATCAAAAGCAGAGTAATGAAAGCCCCACAGGATGAATATGTACAAGGTGGAAAACACAACCAAGTGGCAGGTCAAACGGGCAAGTGAGGGAGTATGATAACACAATCAGCAGCCGTTGGGATGTGACGTCGTATCCACCGCGGGTGCTGACGTTCGGACAGTGGACAGTCGTGGACAAGTGTTACCACTAGCACCAGTCGGATTGTCCATACTCGCCATGGAGCGTAGTGTGGTCAGTGCGTCTGTCAACCATTGTTTAGGCTTCAGATTGCGCAGAGCTGAAGGGGTGTACGATTCGGGTGGGGGTATCTCGTCATGTAGACGGTCGCTTTGTGACGAGCTACATTTGACGGGCTGAAAAACACATCCACTGTGATGATAAAGTGTGGAATAATGCTTACTAAACATAATAAGTCAAAAAAACGCAAGATATGAGTTTATAGGGGAACTCCTGATTGGCGGTCTTAAGTGCTCACCTTGATTCGGATGACTTACGAATGAATTGTAACTTTTCAGCAATGATGCCATAATCACCGGCATGGACTCTAGTCCTCAGAGAATGGAAATTCAACTTTGACCTGACGAGGCGCACGTCAGTGATAAAGTGAAGAAGCGATAGAAACAAAGCATTCAGCTGGTTTGGTTCGAGTTTCAAAATAGGGCAGAAAACTCATAATGAAAAGCTGATGCTTACAAGGGTGGATGGGACCTAGAGTGAAGCCCACCAGCGAGAGAGAGCAGATGCGGACTCAGGTAGCCTCTGCAAGTTGGTGATGTGTCAGCCCAACTCACAACACACCAACTCAAATAAGCTGAGTCAGCAGCATCATAAAGTAGCGCCTTCCGTCAGTATAAGTAAGTAAAAAAATACCGGAGAACAATCCAACGGAACGGGATCGGAATGTACGGAGGGAACGAGATAAAGGGAAGTAGAATGACCTCTGATGTAACGTCGAGGTGAGTCGTAAAATATTAACCGTGTCACCATTTGAACTAACGTCCATTCTGGTATATCTAGGCGGTATAACAGTGATCCACCAATTTCGATAGTGGTACTAAAGAGGAGACCCGTTTCAGGTGGCTGTCTGCGGAAAGTGACAAGGCGCAATACGCTATGGATCACGCTGGAGTGTAACGAGATGTCAATGAACGGAAGTTTGGTGCATGTGGTGTGAAGAGAAGGGTGGCGGGTTCATCGTGATGTAGTTGGTCATTCATTATAGTGATCCAGACATAGAGTTTTCGTGCCGAGTAAAGGGCATCATTAACTGACAGATCAGTAAAGGAAAAGAGGTGCGGAACAGCATTTTTCAGGAGAGCACGTATAATGACACGTGAGAAGCATTGGTGTGAGTCACTAACCGTGAAGTTGGATGACGACATTCATCACACCAGATCATGCCCAGTATGCACTAATCGCTAACGGATGTTACGAGTGCTGCTCTCGGGGTGAGACAGACAATCGTGGAGATTTGGGTCGGCAACCCTGAGTTCCCAAGTTTGAACTACAGCAGGGTTAGTCTGAACAGTGAATGCTGTATAAATTGAGACGCTGAGCCCTTGACGAGATCCGGACATTGTACACGAGACTGGGTCACAAATAGATCTAAGTAAACAAATCCGATAGGGCTAAAATGGGCAAATGCGTCGATCACTGTTGATAAACTGTGCACATAAGATAAGTACGAAAGTTTGCTTCTATGATCTGTCGACAAGGGACGCCAATTGGCAATTACTATCACGCCCTTCCATTGATGTAGTCAGTGACCGAAACAGAAGCGATTTTCATGTTCCGGCGCAAACTGTCAAAGTATTTCCGTAGATCTCGTGCTCAGCGGTGTAGAAGACAGAAAACGCGCGAACGACGCACGCCGCTCTGATACCAAATAACAGGAAGCTCATGATGATCCATCAGAATCTCTCGATGTGTGTTCACAAAACACTGGGAATCTAATGACATGCTGAAAGGCAAGCGTCCGAGCCCAGCGTGTGCGCGCATTCGGCATCCAAGCGAACAAGCCGGACCCATTCGTTCAGTTACCCGATTAGCTCGGATTGAATGCGGACAGACAGTATACACAGCGCTGCGACGGACTTAAAGGATGTGCAGATATTGTTAGTCGCAGCACACGCTAATCAGACCGGGAAATAAGGCCTCGAGCAGAGAACAGCAGTTCGTGCAAAATGGGGAAAGAGCGGCATTAGACAAGCAAGCTAGAAAGGTTCTTGCAGAAGCCAAAAGCCGATCGGGTGGTAAGCGTATTAAGCACCAGCGAAGAGTAAATACGTAGTAAGTAGTTAGATGTTGCATAGTTTTTAGTTATGCTCCTTGAACACAAAAGCCGTGGGCTCACCGCTGTCGAGAAATTGGTTGGAAAGTCTAAGAATGCTCACTTCGCCTCGCAGGACCTTCACGGTATGGACAGTAGAGTCCATAAATGTCTTTCAATAGTAGGAAACCAAAAGTGAAAGCCACGAAGCGTGTGTTCGCACCGAGGGACTAACCATTAAACACCAACTGTAAAGTATCCAAGGGGCGTGAAGATGGTGGCACTTACTCCTTCCAAGGTGGGTTCAACCGGAGAAGACTGTGTGCCAAGTTCCATAACTGCATCTCCGGTTCCATTCATGTCGGTAGACTCAGCACATCTCCAATTGGAAACCATGGCATCCAAAACAGGGGCACACGTGACACACTGAGAAGACTGCTGAATCAAAACCCAAAGGAGGCGTAGATACAGCGCGTCTGAGTCGGGACTTAAGGAGGTTGTGGAGGTGGAACTGTCTTGAGATGCATCGCACTTGAGGGTATGGGGACCACCATTTTCGTGAGTGGCGGTTGATAGTTGATGACGCTTGACCAGATCGGTAGCGATGGCTCGATAAGTGGCAAGTAAACTCTGGAATCTGGCCCGCTCGTCTGCAGCCTGGTCTAGAGTGGAGCGAAGCATTTGCTTAATCTAAGTAGGAGATAAAGGTACGAAGGGGTTAAGATAAGTTGGGCTTGGATTAAGATAAGCTTAGGGAATCGATGGGTAAGCATACCATAAGACAGACAGATAAGGATAGTATGCCTCGAAACCGTCTAAAAATGAGTGCAGGTGGATAAAGGTCACTAACGGTTGTATGACCCCGCAGAACAGCCTCGTTTATTCAAACTGAGCTAACCCCATAGAATCCGGAATCAGAGAAGTGGTGACACGAAAAAAGGAGTACAATTGATCAATTAGAATTCGCGCACCTAAGTGAGATGGACCAATTGTCTTGACTCTCGTCAAAATAATGATATTGGTTGGCGACATTTGGTTCCAGATCTGCCTAAACCGGGACAGCCAAAGGACACCTACACCAACAGAGCAACCATGGAGGGCCTGCGGTGCACCACCCACACAGCCCATATCCAGAGTAAACCTGAAGGAATAAGGTCTGGAGTCATATAGATGGAAGACATGTTGCATCAATGGAGCTGGCTCACATTCCTACAACAAGCACAACAGCAGCATCCCTGCTTATCTAAATTGAGAATCATGCGTACCAGACGAAATCCACTCCACACTGGATGGAACCTAGTACCGTAGCGAAGACCGTGCACCCCGTCCCCCAGGAAAAGAGTAACAGTCTCCTGGAACAGTAATTGTGGTGGAGGATGTTAGACGGCTAGGCGCCTTGTCGGCATTCACATTAAGCGCAGCCACAGAAGGGATATAAAACAAACAACCTAGAATTTGAAAGAAAATAAACATGCAAAATCGATACGGAATGTGCCGCCGAACTGAGCAAACCAAATAAAGTGGAGTTCTTTTTATCTAGGTTAGTAAGACCTAAAATAACGCGTAAGTTGGTGTAACCCAACTGCGATGAAGATGTATTATGGATGCAACATCAACCCCAGTACGGCGCATCGGTAATAATAATGACAACGATAATAAAATAACTGGATAAAGGAATAATAAAATTGTCAGAATGGAAACAAGAGCGCGTTGACTTCATCACAACGCCATTTCTGATGAGTTATCCAACCAATAATGCGACTGGTCTCGAGGATTCGATCGCGTAAGAGAACAAGAACCAATCCGAGTACATATTTTGGTGAGTTTCTTCATGCTGCGTCAACGGAACCGAAGACTAGTCAAATTTTCGGTGTTTCATCCACCTAGATGCGGCATTGTGGCAAACAATACACGCCGAAACATTGGTACGAAAATTCGAACAACGTTATAATCACATAAAGTATGTGAGGACGACGCGGCCGTCGCCGTCAAATTGATGCTACTTCGAGGGTCGATCACAGGACGACAAAACTCACAATATATGTTTACATCTCGAGACTAATTGCGACGCAAGATGGCAAAACGAAACGCTACCATTCAGAGTATGCGGATGCGCATATAGTAAATGGAGAAGCTACAGGGTTTTGCAACGAGAACAGTTTGTGAGAAAGCTGGCGCATTTCAAGGACATTTAAGAAATGGGAGAGTATGTCCACTGGATGCAATGACAATGGGTGTAACGCAGGCCAATGATCGATTAAAGTAGTGAGGCCCCTCGTATTTACGACAGAATGAGAGAGTACGGTGGCGATGCAACTACGCCTCATCATCGACGATCAACGTTAGCAGCAGCCACACTAGGGAGTGGTTCCATGCTGCGTTGACCGGTTGAACAGTACTGAGTGAACGGGAAATCGTTTGGTTCCAATATGTAAATCCATCATGGTCAACAAGTTGGTTAAAAGATCAGCTTCTGTGAAATAGAATTCATTGCTCAAATTGCCGAGAAAGCTTGTGTGTGAGGACACATTACTCCAAAAGGCTTTTCTCCTGCTACAAGCGAGAGCAACAATCCCGCCTATTGCGACCAAGCGTCATGCGTCACCGAGTTACAAAATGCACACGGACCAACTTGGGAAAGAGAGTGGTCGCGTTCATTGGTCGCCATTGTTACATCGCACCAAAAAAACATAACTGGTCACACGCTGTCCGACATAAGGCGGTCGGGTGTGAATTTCATTGGCAAAACCCGTACCCATCGGCCAACTAGGTGAGTAACATCAACTAGAATCACATCACTGTCCCAGCGTGCACAAGCCTATGGAATTCAGCTGTACCAAATAACAATAATTACCGTGCAAGAAATTGGGTCTAAAGTTATGAGTAAGCTACAAGTGCTTACATAAGATCTTGTAGACACGAGTGTCAAAGTCTGTCTGAGACTGTATTTAAGCACAACTCTATCGAATTATGAAAAAGTAAAAACATTTAATTGCGAATCGTCAGCGGTAGTGTTTGGTCAGTTACTCTTTTATTATTGTGCGGTAGGGAATTCGTATTGGTGTCATTAGTTCCGGGTAAAGGATGCAATGTTGTGCATTGTATGTGCATCGTTTCACAAAAGCACAGTTTTCCGAAATAATCGTCGATACATGTTTTAAGACACTTCACAGAATCGGCCTCCATTAGTAGTGTGTTCCATAAGTTTACGATTCTGCGTTCGACACAACGCTGATGTGATAGTTTGTTCATGCAGGGACCCTGTTTGTAACGGTGTCCTTGGGTGTTACAGGGTTCCCGCAAGTGAAATATTGGACGCAGTATGGGGAAGTGATTCCAGTGTAGTACCCGATGGGTCATAATAAGGTCAATTCTTACTCGGCGGTAGGATAGTGTGTAGAGTCCGAGAATTGCACGTTTTTCATACGGAAGCTTTCGTAGACTTTGTATCATTCTAGTTGCGATGTGCAGTATTTTCTCCCGCTCTTCAGTTTCCCACTGGGTTATCGGATGGTAAATTTGGGCGTCATATTCAAAGCTGGGGCGCCGTTTTTCAGAGACAAGCGAGTAATTCAACAAAGACAAGGCGAAGAAAATGAAAGCGTTTGACTCTCGATGCCTGCTGATCGCTCGCTTCTATTAGCAAGTACGATTTTCAGCCGACGAGGTTCAGCCTTTGATTGCGGAACCCACCAATCAGTTTAGCCATGTAGACAGACGATTATGTCCGTCCGAAAGATTTGCCTCCAACTGGCTGTCTGGCCCGTTTCTAGGGTTCATCTGTCCACTTCAAATGGTTGGTCTCATCACGCCAAAGATGGGCTGTAAGCACAGAACAAGTAGCGGACTTCGGCTATAAGTGAGTAGTCACAAAACTATCTGCCGCTAATAGCTATGTCAAGTTATCATACATCCGTTAGTTCACTTCGACTGGATGCTCCCATCATAATATGGAGGAAAGGATCCAGCCTCCACGCTTTCAACTGTAACCAGAAACATTTGGTACTATAGGTGTTGCTTTCTGAGACGGTAGTTGTTGCTCTCGTGGATATTAGAATACCCGTATCAGTTAGGCGGTTACGCACAGTTCAGCTAGTATTTAGACAAACTCATTGATCACCTCTGGCATGCTTTCTCTGATGCGGACAAAAGCGCCGCGAGACCGGAGATAGTGAGTTGAACAGCAACAACAGTTCAGAGGTGCAAATTAAAAGCAAAAACGCCAAATGCTCTGTAGAAGTCTGAGTAAGTTAGGATCGCAGCGTCAATCATACGGTAACAAGGTGACATTATGCGTATAGTGCAAGAGCATGTAATTCATCAAATCGATTCTCATTAACCGCACTGTGGTGATCCGGAACGAAGATGCATGTGACGAAGACAACTTGGATACGCTGTAAGGAGAGGACGTGCAGAGTCGCATCGAGTGCCGGCGTTGACAAGGGCTCACGAGTTCAAAACACCATCCCACTGTTTTGGTTCATAGGAATGCGTACCGCCAGGTTGCTTGAAAAGGCGGGATTGTGATACTGCAATCAGTCACTGCCGGATTGCATGTACCTTTGTTGAATTTAATTAAAGCCATTTCACCCCTCTCAGCCTATGCAGGTAAAAACACGGGGGCCAAGCCATCGCAGGAACAGCCAACGCACTCGGAAAACGATCGCGTACCCTGTCGTAAACCAGGGTTCATACGAATGTGTGCTAATAAAGAGAGCCCAAAATGTTCGTGTGTCACATAAGCACAATCTCCAAGAAATGGTAAGGAGACGGTAGTGGAAGGTGACATAGTCAAAAGCATCGGATGAATAATGCATAAGTCCAACAGACGCTCCGTATAATCTGGCGATTAGTAAGAACAGAGAGCGTAGTTGAAGAGTCAAAATATCATACTTGCAAAGTCGTGTTCAGCGCAGATGTTCTGGCTATAGGTGTCAAAGAACGGAGGATCCAGTCCATGCCGGAATATAACTTTGTCGGTACCGACCGAGTAGTAATACGTGCACACCAAATTTTATGCAGTTTCAAGTGCTCACTTTGAATGATGCAATCCAGCGTAACGCCATCCAAGGATAGCCGCTATTTTTAGCAGTCAGTTGATAGAGAAAAGCAAGAGAATTTTTGGGCACTTGGCGTATTCTCGTCCTGCCCGTATTCAGTCAGATAGACACCCCACAAAGCTTAAAGAACGCTGGTCAGGTATTGCGTTCCACTGAAACATGTCAGAAGCGCGTACTTCCTTCGAATCGTTTAGGATTAGAACTCAACACTTTCCTCAAGTTCAGCTCAGAGAGAAATGCGCTACTTCTAGGACAATGCTCATTGCACCCGTGGAGTGTGGTCAGCGAATGTACAGTAAGTTAGACGACTGTACTAAGAGAATGGATTCAGTTGTTCGAGAATCGCTGTATTTCATCACATAGTTTGTCCAGCCTGAATGTAATCGGTGTGTAGTCTCATCCGAAATTGCTGTTAGATCGATTGAGCGGCGGAGTCCGGCTAACGAACCTGGGGTTAGACATTGGAAAAAGATCCATAAAGAAGAGGTGGTACCTCAGGGTTGTTAAATCCGAAGGTAAGTCAATGGATGATAGGTAATGAGCTCGGGACGCTAGAAGAAAAGGATGGACGAATCTGAAAAGCACAGTTGGTGTACTGGTTCGTTTAGTCTCGCTGATGATCATCAACAATAAAGAAGGTGAAAATCTACATACGAGAACGATGGAGGTTTACAACCCGAAAGCTAAAAACAAGACGATGGGAATACGGTTGGCGACTAAAAAGAGGGTCCCTTCGCCGCGTAGTAGGATGAAGGAGCATTCGACCCTTGGGATTTGAGACGAGTTTCTGGCGAAAAGATGCAAAGGAACACAAGAAGAATGGAGCAACAATATTCTCCCGCTACTCACCTGGATCACTTCGGATTCCAAATGGGCTTTTTCCTCGAGAGTGTCGTGCAAATCTTGTCGAGAGGCGAACAGCTCCCTGGTCAACACTTCGGCCTTATCTTCCAGCTGCACTAAGGTAAAAAGAGACCGCGTGGTAGTAAGCTGGGAAATGGATCAGTGGCAGACGAAGAAAAGCATATGTGGGTGCTCAGTCAAATACTCTGAACGCAGTGTGCAGCGAGATGGAGACTGACCTTGTCCACGCGTTGGTGCATCGATGTCTTGCTCGATATTAGTCCAGAAGCAAGGCTTTCATTCTCCCGTTCCAACCGGCTCACTTCCCTACGTAAGGTAGCTACCTGACGTTCCAAAGCTTGAACAGCAGACTCGGGAGGTTTTCCCCTGGATTTTAAAGCCTCCCATTCTTTGGCGTATTTTAGCATTTTGGATGATGTAATCTGAGGAAAGTGGACAAGCGTAAAACAGATACTCAAAGAATCGAGAGGTAGACATATAGACGGATCTCAATAACGGTTAAATGTAAAGTAGTGCACCGGTCCATTTACTTGTCGTGTGTGCCGAGTCTATGAGGGAAGGTTCACGCTGAAAACGATGAAGACCTAAGAATGAAACGAAGCTATATAACAGTTGAAATAGATGTAAAGGATCAGAGAGCAATGGCAGATTCCTCAAAGATGATAAACCACACTCGGTTACACCGAAAGGACATATCAAAAGTCCAACATGTTGGATAGGATAGTAGCCAGGGTAAAGCATCATCGTCTGTGGGTCGCCGTCAGCAGTACAGTGTCGTATGCCCTACTGAAACTACATTGACAGGGAACCGCCAGTGGGTGCACGCGAGATGGCAAACTTTGGGGATATCTACACCCATGCGGTGAACAGGCACCAGTCGATGAAAACGGAGCCTATCGTAGATTGCCAGATCACCATAATCGTCATCATCATCAACGTCGTTGTCGTTATTATGCCATACGTTAGCCAAGAGTAAGGAACGTCCTGGCTACTGTGTCATAATACAATTCAATCAGGTGGTAGTAAAAAAGGAAAAAAACAAAGCAAAAGTATATTACTATTACGCTCGGTTTTATGTTATGCATTAACAATGAGATCGTAGTTGCAGCGGGAAACTAAGCAGAATGGGGTGGGATAATGTAACTCACAGCACAAAAGTCATCGGGGTCTACCGTAAGCCATCATTATGACTAAAATACGTGGATGAACGAGACGTTTTGAGCCTGGTACAGATATTTAATAGCCACGTAAGACAAATAACGTTTTCATAATCTATCATTTTTACTTATTCATATCACACAAATTCAATTTGGTGAAAGTGGAGAAATTGGATCACCGGGCAGTGACAGAGAGACCCATCACAAAAGAATGTCCGCATCCACCAAGATATGCTCAGTACCCTACATGACAATACCACAGTCAGTTGTGTGCAAGAATCCAAGCGCCGCAGAGAATATTGAAGATGAGCCCATTTCAGGAAGACCATCAACCGCCACTACCAAAGAAAATCTTGACGATGGATATGAGCAAGTAAGATCGTTGATAAAAATATTATCAGGTAGCAGACATGTCAGTCATCTCCCAGGAGCGAGCAGATTATATTCTGATGAAGGAGCTAGGATACCGAAAAGTTTCTACTCGATGGGTGTCACGTCTTCTGATGTCTGAGCAAAAGCGCGTTCGGTATATGATGTCAAATAGAAATTTGGAACGGTTTGAGGCAAATGTCGTTAATTTTCTTGCACGATTCATCACTATGAATGAGTGCTGGGTCCACCAGTTTCAGCCATAACGAAAAGAGCAATCACGCCAATAAGAGCGTGCATCATATCCTACGCCAAATAAGGCTAAGGTTGCTACATCCGCTGGCAAGGAGATAGCATGTTTTTAGGAGCTCCGAAGTGAATTGATGGTTGATTTCCATGAACGAGGTCATACTATCATCATGAAGTATTACTGTGAGCTTCTGCACCGATTAGCACTGGCTGTCAATTGTTTTGGACTATGCTTTGCACCATCAAAATGCAAAGTTCTCTAGGATTGGCAGGGACCCACTCTTGAGTTGATCGATGTTGATGATCAGCTAGAAGTCGTTCAGGAATTCAAGTACCTGGGCAGCTATATTAGCGCCTGTGGGATCGAAACTGAGATTACGAACTGTATGGCAATAGTTCAAGGTGCTTTTGCCAATCTCCGTCACCTTTGGCGCAGAAGCGACATCAATCTTGCCCTGAAGTGAAGAGTTTAGAATGCAGCTGTCAGTTCAACCCTTTTATACGGTTGTGAAACCTGACCCATCAGGTCGACAGACATAAAGAGGCTGGTTACGTTCGATCATCGCTGCCTTCGCAGCTTAGTTCATGTTTGTTGGGAGCACCGCGTGAGCAATGAGCGTGTTCGGCATCGTGTATTTGGTGCAGGAAGAGCGAGTGAACCGCTCAGCACCATTATATCACGCACCAGGCTCCGATGGCGAGGCCACGTGTTGCGCATGCCAGAACACCGACTCTTGCGACGTGCATTGTTTGCGCGCAGGATATGCAGTTGGAAGAGGAGGAGGGGAAGTCAAGCGATGACTTGGTCGAGAGAGATGAAAACCCACACTTCAAAGTTGGCGTCGGTTGGTGCATCGCGACTGCCTGGCTGGGGTCCTAAGGACGATGAACACGTTTGGTTGGACACATTTGCTGATACGGTTAGGAGAAGGCCCCAATGGCGTTTGAGTTGTGAGTTGCTTTGTCCATCTCCCTCCTGTTTAGTCTGCCCCTCCAATCACGATCTCATTCGTTAAGCATAATCTAACGCTCTTTTCGTGGCACGATAGCCAGCTGTTAGCTCTTCAGAACGATGTTCATCCGTTACTGGGGCCTAAGTCGGCTTGCCCCTGTCGTTGTATTACTTCTGCTTGTCTTTTGTATTGCGGCACAATAGCTGAGATGTTGTCCACCTGTAGCTAACGTGTATAATGATGATGATGACAGCAGCGAAGTATCACTTCAAGTGACTGATGTACTGCTGTTGATTATGAGTACAACAAATTGCTCAGAACAGCGGAATTTCTTAAATTATCTTTAATTTTCCTAAACGAGTGCTAAAACATTCCAGCATAACGAAGCTCAAAATTCCAAAACATAAAACACAGAACATTGAGTGCTGGTATAATATAAGTCAAGAAGCAGATAAACTACGAAAGCCCCTTCGAATTGCTGTATATCACTACTCATTGTATTGACCCACTTCTTCACAACCACATTTTATCATAATAGATAAAGTTTCGAAACTCGTTATACTGGTATTTTCCTACATTAGTAGGGGTGGATGGGGTTGTCATCCAGGGAGAAGAGCTAATTTGAGCTCTAGAGTGGGGCGGAATGAAGTAGCAATTTTTATGTAAAAAAACATCGCACCATTAAAGATGGACAATGGAAACAGTACCTTGGCAGTGACCGCAGCGGACAGCAGTTCGGAACCACATTCCGTATCTATGAACCGTTTGGGCATCGTGATGCGCAAGTATTTCAAGACACCCTCAAAATCCAGACCCAGTAAGTCGCGTCTTGCTAACCGCAGCAGACAAAACGCAACTCTGAAGATGAAAATCATACCCTGCAGGTAGAGAATTGGATCGATAAGGCGGAGCAAGGAGAATTGGGTTAGTGAGATTATAAGCACATGCTTAGAAATGCGAGTGAAGGACGACAGCGGGCTCAACAAAAATGTAGAATCAACAGGTAGAGTCGTCTAAAAGCGTTCAAGAACGCACGGGTCGTACGAGGTAGTTGGAAACAAAACAGACAGAGAAGTTGCTTCGCAGAGTAGCGGAAGCACAAGACCAGGAAGAAACAATATTAGGGTAGCCTCGATCCACGTGAGACTAACCGAACTTGAAATGCCAAGTATCCTTAGAGTCATCTCTTGGGCATCGCAATTATCACCAAAGTTTGTTAGACGAGCGATAACAATTCAGGTGGGCGTATAACAGTGGTTCACAAGCTGGGGGTAATTACCTCCAAAGGGATAAAAATGAATTATATTGAGGGCAAACATAAGTAAGAGGATTGAGTTATAAATCTGTCCCCAAACAAAATTAATAGCAAAACCATCCGTATCAAAGCATGTAACTAACCACCCAATCCTTATTGATTAGCCATCAGAGACTAATCATTAGCAGGTAGTCAGCGAATTACGCAATTTTCGGTAATAAATCGTATTAGCTAAAACACGAATAGAAGCCTGCAAGACAGCACAGCTAGATGGCAAGTGGATCGCTTTTCTTTTGTGTCAGGAAGATGTTCGCCAGGTCGAAGTGCTAAGCTGAGTGAAGAATGAGATGGGATCATGGATCAACCAACCAGATAAAGGAGCGACCGAATGTTTACAAGGTAGAAAACCCGCGATTAACGTGCAGGACGTACCGATATAGAGTGGTTATGGGAAGCTATCATTCAGGAAGGACATGGAAGTGGTGACTGAAACACATGAGAAGCCACTGACATCTCTTCCTTTTTGATCAGGGATCACATAGAAAGGCAAGGAGCCGAATGGACTTGGAGCACGACTTACGATATGTATTAGCCGGAACCGCGCCAAATGTACCAGATCTTGTAAAGACTAAGCCAGTGCTTTGTGTTCAAAAACAATTATCGATCAGCCTCAGGCTGCCCTGGTTGTAGACGAAAGACACCTTTTTCTCGCGTTTGTTTATATGGATGTCTATACCTACAAACTGTTATATAAAATTACCGGTTATCGTTATCGGCACTGATGAGACGATACGAAATGCATGCATCTGCCGAACTTCGTCTTTTACTTGTGCTTTTTAAGCAATGTCAACCGTTTCGCTAACGAACATCACCACCTGATCTAATAAAAATTGCTTCAAAGTAGACGAATTCTTTATGCGCAGGATCGAAAGTAATTATAACAGTATTTATTTTCCGTAATTTGGAGCAAAAATGCAATAGTTAGTAGGTGATCTCTTTAAAACAAATGTTTTTCGAAGGTAAATGTTTATTGTGAACCCGCTTTGTTAGTAACAGCCTTAAAAAGGTTGAGAGCCATTGGCCTATAGAAACATTCACAGCTGGAGAATCGTTTGATTGTGTTCACTCACCGACGCTTGTTTTAACTTGTCATCTCGTTAGCTCCATTGTCTGTTTGACGTCTTTGTTTCGGGGTACCTATCACGGTGCAATCCCGACGCTAACGCTATCAATTTTTGTGTGTGAATCTGATTGATTCCTTATTTGTTTGGTACTTTTGGTTTTATCTGGTCGCAGGTTTTCGGTGCTCAGGTCGGCTTTTACAGTTACGTGTTATGGTAAGTGGATGATGTCGTTTTTCTATGAAAAGAACCCTGAATCCCGTTCCTGCTCATTTGTGTTCTCACCACCGCTAGGGGACGGAACGTGACACAAGAGATAAATTAATTGGGCACCAACTTATGTGGTCTGATGAAATTTTCTTGTCAAAAGCGAAAAGCTGCGTATCAGATAGACCCCCTCATCGTTTTCAAACTTTTCTGAAAGAACTGGTTCCATATCGGTTCTACGCGCAAATCCAGAAGCGAAGACTCACCGCTCATTTATGTATACTAGTCAAAGTCAACATGGGATGTTCACGTACTCCGGTAAGGGTAATCACAAATTTTGGAAATTGTCATATCTGGTCACCAAACTTAGTGGGGAGAGGAGTGACCAGAAGAAAGCGCACACGGAAATTGCGGACAGCAAAAAGCGCACAGACACAGAAGATTGCGCACACTAAAAGTGAACAGATTTGTGCAAGCTGTTAACATGATCACATACGACCGTATAATTTATGTACTTTGCTTAATACATTAGGCATTCACGTTGCATATAATGATCTACTGGACATGTTGCTGGTAGTGACTAGGTGACAATAAGACTTATCTTCGATATCGGAATATAGGTCACATTGCAGCCGTTCACACAACGTTGCATCCGGGCAGGGGGAGGGGGAATTATTGGACACATCTCCAACGCTTGGTCCGATCTTAAGATCAAAGTGTATTGTTCTTCTCCCCAAATGCCTGCTTAGCAGATTAACAACTCCAACCATCGCGGTATAATCCACCTTACCACGTAACATAAACACGGTACCAAGGATTTTAAGAATACAGCTAAACGATGACTCATATGGACGGTGTAGAAATTATTAAAAAGATGCCACGAAATTGTTTACCTCGCAATAATATTACAGTCGCACGAATGGACAAGTGGGACTACGCATGCATGTCTAAACAAGTGTGAATCATGACTAACAGGGTCCCTTCTTGGTTCTGCTTGTTACTGTGTCCCGCATGCGGACAACCATAGGATGCCTGCGCTTACTGAGAGATAGATTGTGATTGCTGTACTGTTACCTATGAAGTGCTCCAGAAAACAGAAGGGCAACGTAGTTTTGACATACTTGGGGTTTGAATACTTTGCTTTTCACACTGTCGAAGGAGTGGTAACTTGGAGAAGTGTCACCCACTGTTGAAGACACGATACGGCATCATCTTGCAACAGCAGACTGCACACTGTCATGACATGTCCTCAAAAAGCAGAAGTCAATGCTGCATGAAGCCAAATGAAACTGGACATGAGGACAGTCAGTCCTACACCTCGCAACATTATAGGAAATGTGTTTTCTACACTGAGTAGTGATGCTTTGGCCCTTCCCCAAACAAGCATCCACTGCACGAACTCTTCTGAGTCACCGAAAAAGCGGTCAATTGTCTTGTCCAACAGGTAAAAATTTTGCTAAGCTTGAGCAGTACTCCGAAGTAATTCTACATAATTCAGGTATGAATGATCCAGAAAGGATTCTCGTGTTAGCTGATAAAGAACTTATAACCGAATTGTGCACAGATTCCATATATGAGGACGGCCCTTTTGATAAAGTTCCCAACGTTTTATCTGCCCTATACGTGGCACGCCAACGTGGGCAAGAGTTGTCCCGCTTATCTTCACAACCTGGTGCAGACCTATACCAGAATGTCTTCAATAAGGAAACTATTGTTAACGGATATGTGCCAACAAAGGTGTTAGTCAAGTTTAAGAAGACTTCTATTATCGCTGCGAGATTAGCATAGCCCGACGCAGTAATTAAAGGATGCTAGTTCCACCTGTACCAAAGTATCATCACAAAAGTCTGCAAACTCGGCCTAAAGAGTGCTTTTGAAATGGATGCCAAAATTCAACTACAGCTGAAGTCTCTGGTTGCACCTTCCTTAGTCCAAGTCACTGAAGTGAGAGGAATATTGATGAGCTTGCTAGCACATTTCCAAACGAAGTATCATATAGTTCGGTGCTCAATTATTTCTTCTCTACTTACGTTAAAGGGACCGCAGGTCGAGAACCGCAGTACCCGATGCAAGTGTGGAACCATCACGATGTCGCTCTTGATGGGTCACCGTAAACCACCAGTTGCTGTGGAGGAATTCACAATGATTTGAATTCCTTATTCAACTGCAGTCATTCAAGTGTTATGGAATTTGTTTGATGGACTACAGAGGGACTTGGTATGCCAAAGACTTACACTAGCCAATGCGCGTGCAGATCGCTTTGAGATGAGGAAGAAAAGATATGATGCGATGAAAGCTGCCGTTGCTTCGTGTGTTTGAGATTATGAATCAACGGGAGACCGGCTTAAACACTTGGGAAGATCAGCTAATTTGCAATAACTACCCTTATTGTTCTTGTCGGGGCGCTCAAAGGAAAATTGGACTTATAGGAACAAATATTGTACCATTATATTTCAACCTACGTTCCGCTGCTTTCAATTAGTAACGTTTTTAACGAGTGATTAGCCCATGTTCGTATTGCTTAATTGGGCAATTTCCCACGCGCGTAATGTATTGATGAAAACGCACTCCAGACCAACGCATGAATAGTCATACATATTTTATGTGTACATAAGTCGCAACAATTTCAACCAGCACTGGTGATTCGTGCGTACTAGGGTTGTGGAAGTATCAGCGCGCATCGCGACTGCACGAGGGATCGGAAACATTTCGATAGCCTTCCATATCGTCCGTCATTACTGACAGAGTAAAGACACGGTGTTACGAGATAACTGATTGCGCCCTTACCTGAGTATTTGCCAGGTATCAAGTAAACTGGTCGCTTGTCGGAGTTTTTCGTCACAGAATCACGAGACTTCTCAGATGAACGGACGACATCGTCATAAAACCGATATCTGCTGTGTGGCAGTTGCAAATTAACGTGGAGGAATGATTGTATTGACAACTTTAAGTACTTGTGGATATTTTGTGTGGTGTAATGTTCGTAGAAAGTAGAAGTCACGATTAAACTTCACACAATAATCTGCCTCGAAGGGGAATCGGACCATGGTCCCACGAATTTCCGGTCCGCTGCTCTACCACTGAAATACCGAGGGCTGACGAATAGGTGCGCAATTTTTAATACATGACTTCTGCTTGGTGCGCGACGTATTGCCAAGAAGAAGTCACGTATTAAGTTGCGCACCTAATCGTAAGCCCTCGGTAGCTCAGTGGTAAAAAAGCGGATCGGAAATTCGTGGGACCGGGGTTCGATTCCCCGTTGAGGCAGATTGTTGTGTGAAGTTTAATCGTGACT